ACACAAACATAAACAATGTGTGGATGACTTTGTAGTCATCCACACATTGTTTATGTTTATGTCAAATATAAACAATGTGTGGATGACTTCACAAAGCCATATAATGATCGCAACATAGTAACCACATCTTTCCAAGAATAACTTTTATCTACAACTAACTTCATGTTAGTTGCATGAATTCGGGTTTGAATAAATGCATTTAAAATGAATAGTGCTATACAGTCTCAGTGTTTAATAATCATAAGCTTGTAATATTGACTCAGTACTCACTGACTACTTAAGTAGGGATTTTTGTATGGTTTTGTGTATTCATCCCTGACTAGTTTCGGTAGTTTTTAGCATTGCATCCCTACATCATACTTAATTTTTGCAACATTTTTTATTACTTGTTTCCCTTTTTTTAAAACAATTTCATTAAGATACTTTGATAAGTGAACATTTGTTTTATTTTTGTAATTCATTAGTATTATATATTGTTAATATCATATCAGTTTCTCTAATTTTGGATTACACTGGAGGTTAGTGACGCTGAAATGGTTCCTCCAGGATGGTACAAGTACCCCAGAGTACTGGATGACGTTAAAGGGTTATTTACAGAAACCATGCCTTCCAACTTCACCTCAAGTCACTTCATTGTGTACAATCGACTCCACCAAATTCTAAGGTCATGTCAATTAATATGGGGGACATCATACATATACCAGACCATGAAGTATGATACCATGCATACACACACACAGCTGCCACCGAAAATTTGAAGAAAAGTAGACCCCTATATAATTTATTGTTTTGAATAGTTAAGAAACTGGTTATTTTAAATTCAGACATCAATAACATGTACACAGATCTGTCAGTTGAATAAATACTTGATCTCCTTGATACTTTGAATATTTATGTACATTTTTCTTTCTTTATTTTTACTGAAATTGTTTTCCAGATACCATTTTGTGCAATGAAAGGCACAAACGGTCGTTATATAAGAACAATTTGTACTACCGTCTAGCGATCAGAAATAAAACTGTTATTTATGAAACACGAAAATAATATAAGCTATGAAATACTCGATGATGGTAATTATGTGCTCAAATAAGGTTATAACTCAACTTTAGCAGATATATTTGAGGGCCATAAAGTAATAGATTGAATACTGTGGCCATTTTTTCTCGATTCATCCCTACATACTAAGCACCACCGTGCTTAGTAATAACTTGTGCATAAAGCAGCAATTTTTAATAAACTATTCAGTTTTACATAAAATGAATAACTTTAGTTGAATGATAGATGTATTAATGAATAAATTATGTAAAATTGCAAATTATTAAAAAAAAACATTATGAGGTCTCTGGGATTTTATATCTCGAGTTCGAAAGTCTCCATTAAATCAGTTATTGTTTTTATGATTATTTCTCTTTACTTTACTATTTAGAAAATTCCTTTAAATACCTTTTAAGAATGGCACATCTTCATACTTACTTGTCGAATTTTGCGATGAACGACAACTTTGTGCCATTGGTTGTCATCAAAGCGCACTCTAGCGGGACGTATGACTCTCTCTAGAGAACCAGAGCCTAAATTGACCATAAGGACCACGCTCCCATCTCGTAGTTCCAAAGTAAAAAAATTTTCTCCTTCTCCTGTGTAAAACAGGATCCCGTTGGGCTGGCGTGTCTTAAAAAAGAGAGATACTTTGTCACTTAAACTGAGGATGAACTCTTCTCCTGAGATATTGAAGCTCAGAAATTCAGTTCCCCGAAAGGTGGCTTCTGAAGGTGATTTTTCTGTAAACAAAGGAAGAAAGTTATGAATTAATCACCCAATTAATAGAGAAATGAAATTGTGATCACATCTGTAAACATTTTAAGGCAAATTCAAAATTGAAATTACATTCAGCAGGAGCCAGGGGTCATTTATTTGCTTGAAATGACCAAGTGTCTGGTTGGTATTTTTTATTATACATAATTTTAGGCTAATCAAAATGCTTAGTCTTAAGGTTCCGTTGTGGTGGACTAGAGTACTGTGGCAGGTAAATTGTTGAATGGTGGGTTCGACAACTAATGGTAAGAAAATATGTTTTAATCCTCATATACATTATTTTTCAACACGTGTATTGCCATATATAGTATCAAATGGAAGGTTATGAAGGTTATTTTACAAGCAAAAGTACCCGTCCACAATGAATGGAAAAGTATCAGTTAATCTAACAAAAGTACCCATCCCCAGTGACGAGAAAAGTTTAAGCTAATCTATCAATTTAGATTATTTCATGTACTTTAAAAAGATTAACTGTGTTGTGCTCTTAGTTTTACTCAGAGCTAAGTTACTTATACCACCCACTGTGAAAAGTAGTTATTGAGCATTTCAGTAATGCTAAGAGCTGCTCAACAATAACATACACTAAATATTCATTTTCATTCTTTACATTACATTTTGAGAGATAAATGATAGTGTAATTAATTACTAACAATTTATCGTAGAATATCCTGCTTGCGAAGTAAAATTTGGCATCAACATTATTCATGCCAAATTTCTCCCGTCATTTCAAAAGTGAATGTTGAACTTTGCATGCATGCGCAGCTATCCAAATGAGAGACAGACCCTTAAATATATCACTTGGCTAAATGAATGTAAACATTTAAGCAGTAAGATTGGAAGTGTTCTCACGATTCAAAGTAAAGCCTTGTTATTCAACATTTTTAACTAAACCAAGTTCTCATACAGAAAGCACAAATCACAAATGAAACTCAAAATTCAGACAAATCATCTTCTTCATCAGAAGATGCACTGCACGCTGATTCCTCATCATCAGTGTTATTATCACTTTCAACATCATCGATACTGTTAACTTTGATATCCGAAGGGACCTGATAAGGTCTTATTAAATTCATCATAGTAATCCCAGGCAAGAGGTATTGACAGTTCATTCTGTAACAGAATTTCATGAGGTGTTACTTATTATTATCATTTTTTCACTTTGTGATGTCACAAGCTCAGTTTCCATTTCTTTGGCAGCGTTACAGCTTACGGAGTGTCCTAGCTGGTTAGGAATGACTACTATTCTTCTGTTGTCTATTAAGCTCTTTACTCTAAGGCCAAGACAGAGATGCTTTGTTGGTTTTATTTTAACATTAGAAACTGCATACAGAACATCTTGAGCTGGTGAGATGACACGGTGATTAACTGTGTCTGAAATATATTTTGAGTCAGCATACAGTGATTGAAAGAACTTGACAATTGTGACTAGTGGCTCTACCTGGTCCTTTTTGAAAGTCTTCAAAGGACAGCATGTTTGGCAGCTCTGGAGTCCCCTTCGTAAGATATATGATGGACCTCTGTATGCAGTGTGCAGCCTTCTTGATAATAAATTATTCCAATGAGATACAATCTGCAGCCATCTTCATGGCTGTTTCCTTTGGATATTTAGTGTAGGAAATTACCATCCCTCTCCCTCTACTTTTTTGTCAATGGATAATAATCCATCAAAATATTTGATGATTTTTATGAGCTAAAAGCCTGACCAATAGCGATGGTATGGACTTTTTGAGCAGGTCAAGGTCCCCACAATATCGCCGATGTGGAGATGTTAAAAACTCTTGATGCTTATTTTCTATTATAGACGCCTGGATATATGCAACAAGGGATTTGAATTCACTGCATCACTCAGGGGAATATTGTCGTTTATCGCATGAAACACTGGCAGTCACTCGGACTTTGTTAAAATAGTCCTGTTTACATTCATGGTGGTATTTCCACTCTTTGGAATGAAAGCCAATGGTTCCAATTTTAACGACTATCTCGTGGTTATTTAACTGTTGTGCAGCTTCTTTCACGTTAAATTCCAATTGGTCGAATGATCCCAGTGGTAGTTCTTTCCCTTTCTTCTTTTTTTTTTGATTGGTTGTAAAATATGCAAACATTAGGAAGAACGCCTGTTGAAGTCTTTGCTGCAAGCTTGGACTCACTACGAAGAAATGGATGTGATTCTTTCTCTATTTTTGGTTGAGGTAGATCGAGAGCTCCGGTGATTGCAGTAAAGTTCTGTATCATCCTCGATTGTAACCGTCATACTTCCCAGCAGTCTCAGGAAGCTTGGCATACACTGCCCAATACTTAGAAGTTCGTGGCTGTGGTCTTTGTGAATGTGCAGTAGCAGCAGCTTTAACTTGGTCCAAGTCACCTCAGTGAACTCTTTGATAGGTCCATCTTGTAAGTCACGATCAATATGGAGAACACATCGAAGCTGTGACATGTTCGGCGCCCTAAGAGTAATGAAAATTGGATATTTATTACAAATGCCGTTAAGCAAGCCACTTTTATTTTGGAAAAAACGTATAATACTAAATATTAAATACACATAGTGTTATAAATCAGGTATTATATACCAATCATGATTTTATATGACGTATATCGTAATATATCTAATCAAATTCAACGAAACTCGCAAACGGGTCGATATTGTCACTACCTACTGTTCACATACGTACCTACTGCAATTCGGAAAGAGTGAGTAACACTTAGCCACTTTTGTTTTCATTTTGTTTCCATCACTGCTATTTTGGAAAAATCTCAACTGCACCAATCACAATATGTTCTGCTAATAAATACCTGCATATATATATACCAAAAATTGAAAAATCGCCGTGTTTCGTTAAACAGCACGTTTGAATTCAAACACCTACTGAGGATTTGATTAAAAAAATGAACTAAAATTGAAAGACAATGAATGAAATTTTCCCAAATGAATGTTGAGTTTGTTTAACTTGAAACAAACATGACAAATGGTCGTTTACCTCTTGTCTCAGTGGATCCTTGTACCGAGTTTATTGCATATAAATAACATCATTTGGTTATATTAAACACTGAGTAAACGTATAAATGCATAAAAGTTCACAGGAATATCTTTACAGATATAAATTTTCTAAGCTATATAGCTTTTGAAGAAAATTATGAGATATACAAATTATGAGAATTGTGAATAAATAGCGAAAATTACTAAAACTATCTTAATCCTGGTTGATTTCGCCACCTTATATATATTTTGAACCGTGGTATCTGTCCCAGCCTTCGTCTGGTTCTCGTTTGAATAGCTGCGCACGCATACAAAGCTCAACATTCTTTTGAAATGACGGGAGAACAGGCACGAATAACGTTGATGTCAAATTTTATTTCGCAAGCAGGATATTCTACACCAAACTGTTAGAAATTAATCACACTATCATTCACATTTCAAAATGTGACGTAACTTAAATAATAAAAATGTAGATTTACCATATGTTATTGTTGAGCGGTTCTTAGCATGACTAAAATACTCAACAATTAATTTTCGTGGTGGGCGATATAAGTAGCTCAGAGTTCTGACTCGGAGTAAAACCAAGAGAGGAACACAATTAATCTTTTTAAAGTCCATGAAATAATTTAAATTGATAGATTAATTTAAACATTTCCCATCACCGAGGACGGGTATTTTTGCTTGTAAAATTATAATATTATGATGGATCTTATTATAACCTTTCCTTTGTTAATATACGGGCTCTTAAATAACGCATATGAGGATTAAGTCATATATTTTTAAATCCTCTGTTTTCGAACCCACCATCCATCAGTGTCACAGTGCTCTAGTCCACCACAATGGAACCTAAAGACTAAGCGTTTTGATTAGCCTAATAGTATGTCTCAAAAAAAGGATAAAATGTATCCAAATGGTTAGCATGTCCATACTGTAAATCCGAGGGTTCAGGGTTCGCTTCCCGTTGCAGAAAACTGCGTACAGCACTTTGGTGCCAGGGGTGTCCTACAAGAATAGCGGTGAGATGAGTTGGCGGTAGTTGCTGTTGACCAGTTGTTTCAAAAAAATTAGGGACGGCTATGCGCAGGGAACTCTTGCGGAAATTTTCCAAAAAGAAACAAATATTTCACATTAATGTTACAAATTTTATACCAGCCAAGGTTTGCCCCCCAGTGGCACATCGGTGTGTCTGTGGACTTATAACGCTAGAAACCGGGTTTCGATACCCGTGGTGGGCAGAGCACAGATAGCTTTTTGTATAACTTTGTGCCTAACTACAAACAAACAAACCAGTCAAGGTTTACATAAATGTACACACACACACATGTATATATATATATATATATAAGTAATTCATGAGTAGTTACTATTAGTTTTCTCGAAGCAATACTGATTTTCGTGCCAAGCCTGGTAGTGTTCTAGATGTACAATGTAGCTGGTTTGGAAACTTCATTTTTTTCTCTTCTTCCTAATAAAAATGATAAACTACAATGGAGACTGAAGAATAAACATTTTACTGAGTGTCATGTGACGAGGAAAATACCAGCTTGGTATGTGTTATCAACATGGCTCAAAGTTTATTATTGTATTTGTCTAATTTCAAAGCCAAACTTATCCAACAGGAAAGGAAGATGCTATCACAGCGCCGCTAGTACATTGCTATTTTAGAGACGGAAGAAATGATGATATTCCAGAAAACTGCTGACGTAATCTGAAAAATGTCTTAGTAAGCTGGACCTTAAACTTTCGTTCCATATTTATTACCATCATATTTTTAACATTCTCTTAGGCTTAAAACGTAATTTCATATTCGTGACATTAAATCAAACTGAGGAATAATTGGCTCCAAACATTGGAGATGAGACTTAAGATATTTTCGTTCAATATTACTCATTTCCTTCTTTAATTATTAATAAGAAGATTATTTACCTTCCTTAACTACTATCAGTGTCCTTAACAAGTATCTTCCTTCCTCCATAACAATGTCTTTAACGA